CAATTAATATTTGACAAAGGTAGCAAGAGCATACAGTGGAGTAAAGACAGCCTCTGTAATAAATTGTGTTGGGAAAATTGGACAGCTACATGCAAAACTAATGAAACTAGACCATCAACTAACACCATATACAAAAGTAAACTGAAAATGGATAAAAGACTTAAATGTGACTCATGAATCCATAAAAATCCTAGAAGAAACTGTAGGCAACAAAATTTCAGACATCACACGCAGCAGAATTTTCACTGATACATCCCCTAAGGCAACAGAAACAAAGGAGAAAATGAACACATGGGACTACATCAAACTCAAAAGCTTCTGCACAGCAAAAGATACAATCATCAAAATGGAAAGGCAACCCACTGTATGGGAGAGCATCATTGCCAATGGTATATCAGATAAGAGATTAATTTCCAATATATATAGAGTGCTCATACAACTCAACAAAAGGAAGAGAAAGAACCCAATTAAAAAATGGGCAGAGGAACTAAATAGACACCTCTCCAAACAGGACATACAAATGGCTAAGAGACATATAAAGAAATGCTCAACATCAGTAATCATCAGAGAGATGCAAATTAAAACAACAATGAGGTATCACCTCACACCTGTCAGAATGGCCGCCATCAACAAATCATCAAACAACAAGTGTTGACGAAGGTGTGGAGAAAAGGGGACTCTAGTACACTGCTGGCGGGAATGCAGACTGATGCAGCCACTATGGAAAACACTATGGTGTTACATCAAAAAATTAAAAATTGAACTTCCATTTGACCCAGCAATTCCACTTCTAGGAATATATCCTAAGAAGCCTAAAACACCAATCAGAAAGAATATATGTACCCCCATGTTTGTAGCAGCACTATTTACAATAGCTAAGATCTGGAACCAGCCCAAATGTCCATCAGTAGACGAATGGATAAAAAAGCTGTGGTACATATACACAATGGAGTATTATGCAGCTGTAAGAAAGAAAGATCTCTTATCCTTTGAGACGACATGGAGGGACCTGGAAAGTGTCATCCTAAATGAAACAAGCCAAACAGAGAAAGATAAGTATCATATGATCTCACTTATTTGTGGAATATAATGAACATAACAGTCTGAGGAATGGGGTAGTCCCAGAGATGTGGAAGTGGGGTACAGACTGAAAATCCCCAGAAGAGGGGGTGGTGGGGGAGAGATAAACCACAGAACTTGTATGCATGTATGCATGAACAATGGACATGGACAACAAAGCTGGGGACAGGGCAGGGAGGGAAGAGGAGGGGGGAATCAGTGGGGGGGGGGGAGGAGAAATATCTGTAACAAAAATAAATTAATTAATTAAATTTTAAAAAAAGATCCGAGTGGAAATATATGAAATACAGTCTAAAAATACACAAAACAATGCAACTGATTTCTGCATATTTATTTTGCATCCTGCTACTTAACTGAATTTATTTATCAGTTAATAGTAGTTTTTTGGTGCAATCTTTAAGGTTCAGAGTGAAACCAAGAACTGATTCTTAGAAAACATAGACAAGATTGATAAACCTTTAACCAGACTTATCAAGAAAAAAAGATAGCAGATCCAGGTAAATAAAATCAGAAATGAAAAAGGAGAAGTAACAACGGACACCACAGAAATACAGGATTGCAAGAAAATGTTATGAAGAACTATATAATTTGCCAACAAATTGGGCAAATTGGAAGAAATGGATAAGTTCCCATAAACATACAACCTTCCAAAACTAAATCAAGAAGAGTCAGAAAATTTGAATAGACCTATTAAAACCAATGAAATTGAAGCAGGAATCAAAAACTTACAACAAACAAAAGTGTTGGACCGGATGGATGGTTTTACAGGTGAATTTTACCAAACATTCAAAGATGAACTAACACATATTCTTCTCAAACTATTTTTAAAAATCCAGAAGAAGGAAGACTTCCAAGCTCATTTTACGAGACTAGCATTCTCCTAATTCCAAAACCAGATAAAGACACTAAAAAGAAAGAAAATTATAGGCCAATATCCCTGATGAACATAGATGCTAAAATCGTCAACAAAATATTGGCAAATCAAATCCAGCAATACATTAAAAAGATCATACACCATGATCAAGTGGGATTTATTCTGGGGATGCAAGATTGGTACAATATATACAAGTCAATAAATGTGATACACCATATAAACAAAATGAATAAAAACCACATGATCATATCAGTAGATGCAGAAAAAGCATTTGATAAAATCCAGCACCCATTTATGATAAAAACTCTCAGCAAAGTGGGAACAGAGGGAAAATACCTCAGCATAATAACATTCAACATAGTACTGGAAGTACTAGTCATAGCAGTCATGCAAGAAAAATAAGTAAAAGGCATCCAAATTGGAGAGGAAGAAGTAAAACTGTCATTATTTGCAAATGATGCAATACTGTATATAGAAAACCCTAAAGACTCCACCAAAAACTACTAAAACTGATATATGCATTCAGTAAAGTAGCAGGATACAAACCAATCAGAAATTGGTTGCATTTTCATATACCAAAGATGAACTATCAGAAAGGGAAACTAAGGAAATAATCTACTTTCAATTGTATCAAATAAAATAAAGTACCTAGGAATAGATTTAACCAGGGAGGTAAAAGACTTGTACTTAAAAAATTATAAAACACTGAAGAGAAGATATAAATAAAAGCAAGCATATACTGTGCTCATGAATAGGAAAAATTAACTTTGTTATAATGTCATACTACCCAAAGCAATTTATAGATTCAACTCAATTCCTATTAAAATAGCAATGGTGTATGTCACAGAACTAGATCAAATAATTCTAAAAATTATATGGAACCACAAAGGACCACACATAGCCACATCAATCTTGAAAAAGAAGATCAAAGTTGGAGGAATCATGCTACCTGATATCAAACTCTACTACAAGGCTATAGCCATCCAAACAGCATGGCACAGACATAGAAACAGACACATAGATCAACAGAACAGAACAAAGAGCCCAGAAATAAACCCAATTAATACATGACAAGGAGGCAAGACCATACAATGGGTTAAAGACAGTCTCTTCAATAAATAATGGTGAAAAATTGAGCAGATATATGCAAAAAATATGAAACTAGACCACTTTCTTACACCATATACAAGAATAAACTCAAAATGGATTAAAGGCTTAAATGTAAGAATTGAAACCATTAAAATCCTAGCAGGAAACATAGGCAGTAAAATCTTGGAAATTTCTTATAGCAATATTTTTTCTGATATATATCCTTGGGCAAGGGAAACAACAACAACAAAAGAAACAAATGGGACTACATCAAACTAAAAAGTTTTTGCACAGCAAAGGAGACCATCAACAAAATGAAAAGACAACCCATGAATGGGACAACATATTTGCCATTGATACATCTGATAAAGGGTTAATATCCAAAATGTATAGAAAACTTATAAAACTCAGCACCAAAAAACAAATAAACAATCCATTAAAAAATGGGCAAAGGACCTGAATAGACCCTTCTTTAAAGAGGACATACAGATGGCCTATAGACATATGAAAAGATGCTCAACATCACTAATCATCAGAGATGCAAATTAAAACCACAATGAGCTATCCCCTCATACCTGTCAGAATGGCTCTCATCAATAAATCAACAAACAAGTGTTGATGAGGATGTGGAGAAAGAGGAACCTTCCTTCACTGCTGATGGGATTGTAAATTGGTGCAGCCACTATAAAAAACAGTATGGAGTTTTCTCAAAAAGTTAAAAATGTACCTGCCTTATGGCCCAGTGATTCTACTTCTGGGAATACATCTAAAGAAACCCAGAACAGTAATTCAGATGAATATATGCACCCCTATGTTCATTTCAGTGTTATTTACAATAGCTAAGATATGGAAGCAATCCAAGTGTCCATCAATTGATGAATAGATAAAAAAGTGGTGTACATATATATACAATGGAATATTACTTAACCATGAAAAAGAATATAATCTTAGCATTTATGACAGCATGAATGGATTTAGAGAGTATTATACTAAGTGAAATGAGTCAGTCAGAGAAAGACAAATACTGTATTATTTTGGTTATATGTGGAATCTAAAGAATAATATAAACAAACAAACAAAACAGAAACAGACTCATAGATACAGGGAACAGACTGATAGTTGTCAGAGGAGACAGGTGTTGGGGGACGGGGTGGAAAAGGTGAAGGGATTGGGAAGTACAGATTGGTAGTTCAGAACAGTCACAGGCATGTACAGTACAGCACAGGGAATACAGTCAATAATACCATAACAACTCTGTACGGTGCCGGGGGGATACTGGAAGTATCAGGGGAACACTTTGTAAAGTGTATATACATTGTCTAACCACTCATTTTTCTCACTTGAAACTAATACAAAATAATATTGTATGTAAACTGTAATTGGAAAAAATAAAAATGAAATTAAGACATTAATTTAAAAATAGTGGTCTCACATTTTGTACCTTTGTGCCATTTGTTACTGATTTATTTTTGTAGTGTTTTGCAAACATTTTATAAAGTTTACAAACAGCACAGATTGTTCGCTGGAGGCAGAAAGGAAGGCGGAGCTGAAGCCAAGTACACAGGCTCCTGCCGGGGAGACCCTTCCCTCAAGCCGCAGCTGGCAGGTGCCCCCGGCTAGCTCCTGCAGCGCCCCTCCTCCACCTCCTCCGCGTTCCCCAGACCCCATACACACTCGTGGACATGTGAGCATGGAGAAGGGGCATTTGAAAGGGACCAAGGCAGATAGTGTTTACACTAGGGAAAGGAACTGTTAATGGTCGGGCCAGCTGGTGTAAAGGTCATCCTGCTGGCTGGGGTGGGTGTGGTCCCGCCCACTCTGTGACAGGAGCCAGAACACAGCTGGAAAAAGATAAGGCCCCCGCCCTCTGGAGTTGCTGTCTGTCATGGCAGGGCGAGGTGAGTCAACGCGGTGCCAGATCAGGGCGCCACCTTGCTCGGGCCGGGCCCAGTCCTACCTGTCCAGCAGGGCCTTGTAGTTGAGCACCCCGGAGATGAGGTTGGCAGCGAACCTGCGGAGAGATAGGGCCTTAGCCTCTCCTGTCAGGGCCCAGGCTGCCTCCCTCTCACCCTTTCTCCTTCTTCCCTTCTTCCTTTTTTTCTCCCCACCTCCTTCCCTCCCTCTCGCCTACTCTCTCCCAAACTCAGCGACCCCCACCACACGCCGGGTCTCAGTGGGTAGTAAGATGGGTCATCTGCCGCCCACCCACCTCGGCGAGGGCAGTCCTTCACAAGCTTGGGATTAAAAATGGTCCCCTGGGAAGAACTTCTGGGGGGACAGGAAGCTGGAATGTGAGTGAGGAGCAAGGGGAGGAGGGAGAGAAGCCCGGGGCGCCACGGAGCAGGCAGGAACGGGCTGACGGACTGAGGGGGAGTCTCCCCAGCAAAGGCTCATGCTGGGCTGGAGCGGCCAGGACCCTGGGCTTCTAGGAAACTCAGTCTCCTGGAAAAAGCCAGTAATTTGGTCCTCTAAGTGCTAATGAAAAGGAAAGCGAGTGTGTGTGTGTGGGGGGGGGGGGGCAGAGAAACATGCCACGAAACCATGTCATCTAGCTGTTCATGATGAGCCTGGCTTAGTTGCATCAAGAGGAAAACGCCCACATGGGTGCAGTTTTGAGGGCTGTTCTCTGAAGTCCTTCACCCATCCACACACCTCCTTTTCCAGAGGAGGCCCGGCTGCAGGGGGAGGGCGGGCTGCTCCCAGAGCTGGGTTGGTCCTGGTGAGGAGAGCCGCTGGGGTCCCCCGCAAGGCTGAGCCCCGCCACAGGTGAGATGGGCCCTGCCTTCTGCTCTTTCTCTCCCTGAGCTGTCCCCACACTGTCCCATTCCAGTGTTAAAACCAGAGACCAGGATTGGGGTCTGAGTGACTCCTGCAGGGACATCCTTCTTCCCTGCCCCACCCTTACACGAATGGTCCCTCCACTGTCATCAGTGGGCCCAGAGGCCGTTCCAGTGGCTCAGTGAGCAGTGAAATTGCAGCAGATGGCACAGACTCTGGCAGAGGTGGCTGGCGGGGAGAAATCCCTGCCAACCCTCGGAGCCTCTGTTTACAGCTGGGGGCTGGAGGGCGGCAGGGGCCTCTCAGATCACCTGGGGCGTGTCCCACAGACAAGTCCCAGCCTCAAGTACTGGCAGGATCAGAGGGTACCCACCTTCTCCCAGGGCCTCAGCCAGGACAAGACTGACACGAAGACACCTGGGGGCCCATGCCCTCCATTAGTGCCCACCCACCCCAAAGAGATCCATTCTGAGGCAGACCTGGGCTTGTTTCTCACCTGTAGCCTCACCTGACCTCACCTAACTTCCTTCTGCCTTCACGCCAGGAAGGCCCTGTCTCAGGGTCCCTTGGTCTCAGAAAGCTCTGCCGAGACACAGGTTCAGCCTTTCCTCCCCGGGGCCGGGGCCGGGCCCCTCCCCCAGGCAGACTCACAGAGCGTGAGCCGGGACACAGCGCCTCACCGTAGCTGGTCATTGGTGTCCTGGAAGTGCTGCCGGGAGAAGACCACAGCGGGGCTGGAGTTGACCGGCAGGGCCAGGCGGTTGTTGAGATACATGTCATTCAGCCAGTACTCAGACACCTGCGGGCGAGTAGGGAGGGGCCATTACCCACAGGCACGGGCACCCCCTCCAAGGAAGGGCACCAGTCCCATGCTGGCAGCCCTGAGGGCCAATCGGGACACTTCGTTCATTCCTTCCACAAACATCACTGCGCCCGTTGTGTGCGCGGCCCTGTCTCCCAGCCGCGTGCCTGCGCTTCACTCGCCCTGTGCACCTCTCCTTTCTTCCATCCCAGGCTCCCTTCTCGGGTGTCCTGAGCTTCATCCATGTTCCCTGCCACCCTTATGAGGGTCCCTTTCCTGCCTTTCACCCCCTCTGCTTCTCTGACCTCATCAGTGTCTTCTGCTGCCCCATTTCTGTCACCCATTTGTCCCCTGGATTACCCCCATCCTTGTCCCTGTCTGTCCCCATCCCTCGCCCTCATCGGCCAGCCCTGTGTCCCCATAACCACCTCACATTGCACATCTTACCTGTTCCTTGCCCTTGCCCCTTGCTCTCCCCACCTCTCCCCCACGCCTGTCCCCTATCTTTGTCACCTACCTGTCCCTATCCAAATCCCTGTGTCTCCAAGTCTGCCTCCTGCCTCCTCCTGCCCCAAGGGCCCCTTGTCTGCCCACCCCCTCAGGCCCCTCCCAACAACGCCTACCCAGTTGGCTGTCTTCTCCTGCCGCTCCAGGAGCTTCTGCTGCAGGGTCTCGCCAAGGCCACCAGGGGCGCCAAACTGCTGCACGATGGCCTGGCTCCTCCTGAACTGCTCCTCTGGCACCAGGTGCTGCGTGGCCCGCAGGTACGTGGTCAGAGTGTGCTGCAGGGGGGGCACTGGCAGTTTGGGCAGCTCCTGGAAGAGAGGGTCACAGGCACTTGCTGTGCCTGTCCTTATGGGTGGCCCAAGCCTGTCCCCAAGTTGATGCCTAGTGTCTGTGTCCACCTGCCACCATCCTTGTTCCTCATCCTGGGACTCATCTGTCTCCAGGGCTCAGCTCAGCAGAACTGGGAACCTAGGACGCTCCTGTTTGCTTTCCCCCATACCCCGGCCCTGACCCCCGGGGGGACATAGTGCAGAGGAAAAGACCTTGATGTTGATCCCAGACAGACCTGGATTTATCCCTGACCCTGCTGCTGACCAGCTGTTTGATCTTAAGCAAATCACCCCTGCCTTCGTGCCTCAGTTTCTTCCCCGGCCAGATGGGGGAATGACCTCTACCTCTCGGAGGACCAAAGAGATCATTGATGTAAAAGTGCTTATCAACCATAGCAAATAGGTCTAAGACGAAAGAGTCTTGTTGTTGACAGTGACTGCTGGTCATTCTTAATTTAGAAACTGTTCCCAGCTGGGACTCTAGAATCCAACTGAACTCGGGACCCAAAGGGGGTGATTCCAATGGAGAGATGCGGACAGGTGAGAGATGGGGGAGACGCAGTTCATCGCTTGTCTTAACGACCAGAATTCTGCAAGATGTTCCTGGGAAGGTGACTCATGCCCTGGGCACCTTATTAAATCCCCAGTTATGAAACCCGGAGAGGGGTGTTCTGCTCCATGTCCTCTCCTAATCTTTTAAGTCTTGGCTTCCTCATCTGCAGGATATGAATAACAATTCCTACCTGAGATGGGCCCAGAGAGAATTAAATGAGAGAAACAACTGGCCCCAAATAGGCACATTATTAAATGTTAAATGTCCGAGTCCTTATCCATCCAGAGGAATTCCTAAGAGGAAACTCATATCTCTGAGGGCCCCCAAAGTGTGGAGAGAATCTGGGCCCCATGCTTCCCGGGGTCCCAGCTGTGTCACCAGGGATGTCACATATGTGTGCAGCCACTTAGAGCTTAGCCTTGTAAATGTAGGTCCAGAGAGTGGAGAGGTACTCTAAGGTCACCCGGCAATTTGGTGGCAGAGCTGAGACCTGAAATCAATCTTTTATTTTTAAAATTTTTTTTCTTTACTGATTTTTTTAGAGAGAGAGAAAGGGAGAGGGAGAGAGAGATAAAAACGTCGATGAGAGAGAACACCAATCGGCCACCTCCTGCATGCCTCCCACTGGGGATCGGGCCCACAACCCGGGCATGTGCCCTGACTGGGAATCGAACCGGCAACCTCTTGATGCATGGTCGACACTCAACCATTGAGCCACACCTGCCGGACCTGAAATCAGTCTTCATCAATATTCATTCTGCTCCTTCTGCCTTGGCTGCTCTCTTCTTTCTCCCTCGCTCTCTTTTCTATACCCCTTTCTTTCTCCCTCACATAGCCAGTCACAATCGAAAACTAGGGATTTTCATATTATCACTTAATTTTACGAAGCTGGCTGCCTTCTTTCAGGAGTCCCCCTCTCTAGGGTGTGGGGGGCGGTGCATTTCAGTCCCAGGCAGGCCGCGGAGTGAAGGGCCTGTTGAAAGCTTTGCTCCACTCTGCTCTGACAGCTGCACAGGCTGCAGCCCACGGCTGCCCTGGGCACCGCCGAATGAATGGGGATCCTCCACCTCTATGCTCCCGAGCTAGAGTCCACGCCCTGGAGGGAGGAGGCCGTCAGTGCTGACTACGTGCTGTTGCTCCCCTGGGGACCACCCAAGGATGGGTCTGAACAGCCTTCCAGGTTATCTAGCCCACTCCAGAGAGCCCGGTCCACCCCTGCCCACCTGTTCTGGTTCCCGCTTCCTTCTGTTGGGGCCTGGGGATCTGTATGGTGGGTGAGTGGGCAGGTGCCTACAGAAAGCCCAGCCCAGTTGGCGGCCTGGCCAAGAGGGCCAGCAGGTCTGGCTGGAACCCCTGCTACCCTTCTTTGGGGCCCGACAGTGCCCCAGGACTCAGCCTGGGTCATGGGGAATTGGTGATACATAAAAAAGAACGAGGCAGTACATCTCTGCTTGTGTGTCTCCGCCCCTTGGGGCTCCTCCCAGAGCCTCATGCGCTTCTGGCCCAAAATGGAAACAGGCAGGGATTAGTACTAATGAGGGTCTTTGGGCCCTGGGGTCTCAGGTCAATACATGTTTCCTGGGCAGTTCCTGCAAGCCAGGCCCTCGGATGGACTCGGGCTCAGTGGAGAGACAAGGCAGCCAGAGTCCAAAGGGAGGGACATACCATGGAGCAGAAGCAACAATAGTGTCCTGAACAGGACAGTGTGGTGAGCACCTTCATGGGGGGAAGACAGAAAGTTCTGAGCAGGGTGTGAAATGAAGTCCAGGGCATGGAGGGGTGTGGTTGTTAAGGAGGTGTCGTGAGGACAAGTGTGGCAGAGGGACAGACGTGTGCAGCACTGCGGAGGTCAGACGTGTTGCTCTCTCTCTGGACGGCAAGTAGGGTGGAGGGGAGAAGGCCCAGCCGGGGAGAGGTGGCTTGTCTGGAGCCAGTGGGGGCGATGGTGTGTAAGGCTCCAGGGCTGAACTAGTGACAGCAGCTGGGGCTGGGATGTGACAAGGCAACTCCACTGGGCTCAAAGCCATTGGACGTGGAATCTGGGGGCGGGGGAGTCCTGGGAGATAAACGAGTATCTGGCCCAGGTCAGGGGCTCTCCCTGGACTCTGGGGCTAGGACATGTGGTTGTCAGCATTTCCTAGCACCCCTTGAAGCGACTCCGAGAGCCCGCGATCCCTCCTGGGTTGGCCAACAGGCTCAGGGCACAGCGGCAGCCTGGTCCTCAAGCCCAGGAGAGGAAAGGGCTGGGGACTAGGCAAGTGTGGGGGCAAGTCCCACTCAAGACTGTTCCGGAAGCCAAGGATGTGTGAGTGGGGAGAAGAGGGGCAGGGAGAGGGCTCCGAGAGTTACTCACAGCCTCCTCCTCACTGCAGAGAGTGTTTGCTGCCATCTTCTGGGTTTTTCCCAGGGTGGGTATCTTGGTGACTGCTGGCTGAGGAAGCAGAGGTGTAGATCTGGGGACCAAGAAGCAGACAGGCATTAACACAACAGCCACACAGGCCTGCCACGAACCCTTCACCTCCCACAGTCTGACACCCACCTACATCCTGGGAGGAGGCCAGAGCCGTATAGTCATGCACGTAGGTCTCATTGTAGGCCTGACCCCAATCTTCTGGCCTAACCCCCCGACCAGTGTCCTCTCTGAGCCCAAAAAGAGAGGATGAGGTCTGAAGTGAGCCTCCAGCTGGTACCTGCTCCATCAGACTACTGTCACCCAGAACCAACTGACTGCCCCAGGGCAGCGTGGGAGGGAGCAGGGCTGGGCTTGCCCACTTCTACCTCACAAGGGGTCGTTGGCAGAGCACACGCTATGCTCCTGCCTGGGGCCCAGTAGATGTGTGCTTTGCAGATTAAACATCTCTCTCCCACTAGACTGTGAGCTTCTCCAGGGCAAGACCATACCTGCCACGCTCAGTGCTTCACCCCTGCGCCCCAGCAGCAGCAATAGGGTTATTGTGGGGCCCTGAGGAGAGTTAATGTGTGCAGGCATGAATGCACGCCTCAGCGAATGCAATCGATGAATGCAACCCTGCATGACTGCTAGGCCGTCCGAAGCTCTGGGTTCCAGGAGGCTCTCTGGGTTGATTGGGAGCATGGCCTGTGGCCATAACAGGACCCTGGCGCCTGTTGGATGGGCTGGGACTTAGGCAGTCTCTGGTCAGCAGGTTCCCAGTGTAGGTGGCATGGGAATGCTGAGGGAGGTGGTCCAGGGAAGCTGGGCAGCCCAGTGCCCTAGGGCCCACCTGACAGCCTGGAGAGCACTGGATGGATTCTGAAGGGGCAGTAGAAGTAACCTGCACCCAGGGGGCAAAGGCCAGTTTTTAAGGCTAGTGGGGCCCAACATCTACCCTCAGAGATCCCTCTAAGCTAAGTGTAAGCCTGTAGAGACACACACCCATGCTTTCTACTCACCCATTCCACCCCTACCTTACCCACAACCCAGGCAGACAGTCCAGATGGGGGCTGGGCATGGGCACAGTTGACCAAAGACAAAGCATCCAGAAAGGTGGATGAATCCAGTACGGTAGTGAAGCCTGGGGCTGCCTGGAAGGCAGAGAATGTAGAGTCCTCGGGGACACTGCACCAGAGCCCTCTGGACTAGGGGTGTCCCTAGACCGTCAGCACCTTGGAGCTTAGGGGCTGCCTCTACCTACCCCAAGCAGCAGTGTCCAGGTGAGGGTCCACTCTCACCACGGGGAGGTTTTGAGGGGACAAAGAAGGGTAAGGTTGGGTTAGTAAAGGCCCTAGAAACCGCGAGGCGCATGCCCCGTCTCGCTCTGGCCCCAGGCCAGCGCCATAGATCGAAGATACTAGTCCAACCTCTGGGACCCCAGGTCGCAGAGAGGTGCAGGAGATCAAAGCACTGTGGTTTCCTGGAGCCCAAGGGGAAGTCCCGGTCCCTGAGCCAGCTGCTCGTCCTCTTTGGCTCGGGCCAGCATTTAGAGGGTGGGTGTATGTGTGTATGTACCTTTCTGTCTGTCTGTCTGGTGCCCTCCCGCCGGCCTGGCTTCCGAACTCTGCCGGCAGAGATCGCTCTGCCCTGGAGGCCCACCCCCAGCTGGACCCCAGCACCGCAGGCTGTCCGCGCTCCAGCTACTCCCCCCGACATGGCTCTTGCTTGCTATGGTCGCCCTCTCCCCACCTCCTGCCTCTTCCAGTGGGAGAGAGGCGAGGGCTCGGGGCCCTGCAGGGTGGTCTGGGGGAGACCTGCAGACCCTCTGACTGGGCGCCGAAAGTGCAGCCCTTGGGGCTCAGCAGATGGAGGTCCAGGAGAAGTGAGAACATGCACCTGGAGCCGCGGATCCCTGATGGCCAAACCTCCCCAAACCCTTTCCCCCTAACGTCTCATCGTCCAGCTCCCCAGTTTCCTGCCCCTAAGTCCGCGTGGGTAAAAACCAGAGCTGCGGAGTCCCTCCATCTGCTGGCGGTCTCACGACGGCCGCTGCCGTTCAGGGCTTGCAGGACTCCGAGGGTCCGGAGGCCTCTCGTCCCGGCACAGTCTCTGGACCGAGCCTCCCTCCGCTCCCCGCGGGCCGCGCCGCCCGCCCAACCCCTCTCACCTGCTCTCCTGGGCTCTGCGCTCAGCCGCCGCTGCACCGCACTGAGCAGGACTGGGGGCGAGAATGTGAGCTGAAGGGATGTGGGGGCGCGTCAGCAGAGCGAGGGTGGGGGCTGCCACCTCTGTCGGTGGCAGAGCCTCCGACGACGTTGTCGGGTCCCCGCGGACTCCCGACCGGCTGGCTGCCAGCGATCCAGCCGCGCCTGTCCTCTCCTCCTGTTCCCCCTCCCTCCTCTCCCTCCTTTTCTTCCCGTCCTCGGCCCCACCCCTCTCCGTCCTTAACCCCCCACCTCCCCACTCCCAGCAGCCTTCCGGGATCCAACCTCCTAGCCCCGCGCCCGGGCTCGGACCAGTTTGTGCAAGGGTAGCAGAATCCACGTTTGAGAAGGGCGTGCAGAACATGCCCCACCCATGCCCATTGCCCTCAGCTCAGCCATCCCCAGGCCTGGCTCACCCAACCCCATTATCCTGGCCGCGGCTGCCTCTGCAGAACCCTGGGGAAGGTTGGGTCGGGAGAAATCGATGCCCTCCCCACAGTTTAGGCCGGACTCAAACCCTACTACATACAACTCCTTTCAAAATAACAACAATGACAACGACAACAACAACAACAACCTGTTTGTTAATCGCTGCAGGTCCTCCCCATCCCTACTGGCACTATTGGGGTGTGGGGAGATACAGACCTGGGGATGCTTAGAGACACGCAGCCAGAGGCAGACACTCCTCCCCCACCCCACATGTAGATCCTTACACACGAACACACAGACAGACCCACAAAGACAGACCCTGCCCAGACAAACACACAGTCAGACACGCATACCGAGGACAGACTGCACACACAGCCCTGCAGATCCCCACAGGCCGTGACTAACGCACAGGCGGCACCTCCGCGCTGGAATGGAAGGACTCTGTGGCCGTCAGCAGGCCACAGCCTCCAGGACACAGATGCCTGCCTGGGACTCCTGGGGACCGCATTCAAGACGGGGAGACGTCTCTGACAGCCTTGGGCGACTGCTTTCACTCAGGACAAGGGAGGGTGCAGAGGTGTGGGGTACACCTCTTCAGTTCCGCATGGCAGGGACACAGCAAGACACACCACAACTTTTCTCACTCCTCAAAGGACAGAGCCTGGCTCTCTAACGAACACACACATCACACGATGTGTTTCCAGAGATCCGACCTCTGCCCAGAACAGCTGGGCCTCCACTCCTTTTCCGAGCCTAAACAGGGTAGGTTGCCGGGCTCTAAGGGAAACCCCTCCCTAGAGCCTCCCAGGTAAGTGTCCGATACAGGGCGTGTTCTAGGAGGCGGGGCCTATGCACCGGAGGGAGTCCTCCGGCTCCCGGGGCCGCACCCTGGGGGGCGACGCCGGGCGTAGGAGGGCGGGGCTGTTGCGGGCCGAGAAGGTTAAGAGTCCTAGGATGTCGAGCCTTTGTTGGGTTTGCTTCTTTTCGTATATATCTCTTTATCCAGATAGCAAAAGAGCCGCGGGCTCCGCATGTTCGCTGGGCTGAGACCTGAATTGGATCTAGACCAAACTCACCCTCCCCTCTGTCCCGGCCCTGTGCCTGGCCGCCCACCCGCATCAGTAAAGAGACTCAGTCTGGGACAGATATGGTTTATTGATTCGGGCCAAAGACATCTATGTGTAGCGGGCGAAGGAACGGAAGGGAAGACAAATAGACACACACACAGCCCTCCACAGGGTGGCCCCGAGGCGGAGGCCCGCACGCCTCTTCTGTGCAAGGAGAGCATCGCTTTGCGTGCCAGTGTTCCGCACTCCACTGGACTAGAGGGAGAGGGGCACAGAAACGGTCATGGAGGGCAAACCCGGGCAGAGGAAGTCAAGACGGGGGCTGGCAGGGGGACGCTCGCAGGAGAGGTGGGCCCTGAGCCTGCGCTGCGAGTGCGCTCAGAGAGCAGCCACTTTGACCCGAGCGGGAAAGGGGTGGGTGGCGTGGAGGAGGAGCGGGGCTGCTAGCTGCGGGTGTAGTAGTCGTTGTAGTCATCCTCACACTCGTCAAACGGGCCAGGTGGGCTGCGAGGCGCGCGGTCCGGGTCAGACACAGGGCACTCACGCAGGCGCATGGCATCGTACAGACCCTGCGGTGGTTCATCAAGCAGTACGTCGCGCTCGGAGCGGGAGCGCGTCAGGAGGCCCACGTTGCGCAGCAAGAGCAGGACAGGCGCGTAGAGCAGGTTGGCCAGGCCCATTCCAAGGCTAAGCTGCCCAAAGCCGAGCGAATGCACGATATGGCCCGCCACTATGGGCCCCAGCGCATAGGCCACGGAATAGGAGATGTCAGCGATGGCATAGACGCTTCCGTAGACCGAAACGTGGCGAACGTCCACGAGAAAGGCGAGCGTGGGCAGCAAAGCGGTGTCGACCAGCGCAATACCGAAGCATAGGCCGCAGAGCGAGACCACTAGTGGGGCAAAGGAGTGGCAGGCGGGCACCACGCACGAGCTGGCACCGATCACGGCCAGCCCGAGCGCGCCGTAGAGCCACTGCAGGTGTGGGTAGCGCGCCGCCAGGCGCACGGTGAGGTAGACGCCTAGCACGTGAGGCGCAAAGGCTGGCAGCCAGACCATGCCCATCTCCCACTCCGACGCCGCCATCGTGTGCTTCATCCACGTGGCGATGGTGGGTTCGAGGAAAGCGAGGGGGATGTTGCAAGTGGTGAGCGCGCCCGCCACCACGGCGATGTAGGGGTCCAGCATGAGGTGGTGGATGGGTGTGCCCACCGGCAGGTTGGCCCGCGCCCGCGCCGCGGCGGAGAAGGGCTTGGCCACGACCAGCAGCAACATCGCGTCGAGCAACGACACGGCGGCGAGCACCAGGAAGGGCACACGCTTGCCCGCGAATTCATAGAGGATGCCCCCGAAGGGCGGCGCCACAAGGCTTCCAAAGCTGATGAAGGCCAGCGCCACGCCCAACGCGCGGCTGCGCTCGGGCTCCTCCGGATACTTGTCGGCGATCATCGCTATGCCGGACGTATCCGCGAAGGCCGAGCCCAGGCCTTGCAGGCTGCGCGCGGTGAAGAGCGTGGCGTAGTCCTCCGCGAAGGCGAACAGCACGGTGGAGGCGAACATGACGCCCAGGCCGATGAGCAGCGGCACGTCGTAGCTCATTCGGTCTATGAAGGGCCCGCTGAGGGGGTTCACCAGAAGCTGCAGGATGGCCTTGGAGGCAAACAGCACCCCGATCTTCACGTCCTCGCTCTCCGTGGGGTAGCGGGGCCGCAGGGCAGACCCGGCCGGCCATGAAGCCGTCGGGGACTCTGAGCTGTTGACAGGGTTGGCACTGGCATTGGCTGGAGTGGGCGGCGGCGGCAGGGTGGGCACCCACACTTCCGGAGTCGGGAGGAGATTCTCGCTGCCGCCGCGCATGTGGGCGATGTAGTCGGGCACGATGGGCACGATGACCATGTACAGCATGTTGTCCAGGAACAGCGCCACGCACACAATGACCAGCAATAGGCGTCGCTGCCGCCGGGGCTCCTGGAACGCTGCGCCCACCGCCTCCGACAGCTTGGTGGCTGCCTCCCGTGCTTGGCCCGCGGGTTCCATTGCCCCCACCCGGCCGTTCTTACGAGGACGCCTTCGCCGGGGCCGGACGCGAGCGCCCTGCAGGGCAGAGACGAGAGCTCGAAACTTCGGGGTCGCGGTCTGAGCTGCGCGACGCCCCCTGTGCCTCAGGTGGCTGTAGGGCTCATGGCCCTGCGCCCCGGAAAGGCAAGGACCCTGTTCCGCAAGGTGCCGCTGCTGTTCAGAGTGGAACTCCAGACCCGCCGCCGCTGGACTCAGGGGTGGTCAGGGAAGGCGGGGGCTCAGGGGGTCGGGGCCGGAGACTGAGCGCGCTGCGCCTTGGGCGCTCCCGGAGCCTCCGCCGCCACGCCGAGAGCCCGCCCGCGCGGGCCGAGGGGCATGCTGCTGTCGCCCGCCCGCCGGCTGCTCGCCCTGCCTCCGCCTTGCCTCCCTCAGCGCCGGCTCCTGCTCCTCCGCCGCCGCCTCCTCTCTTTTCCCTTTCCACTCGGGGCTGTGACGCTGCGAGTCTCGGCCCCCGAGTGGTGCCCCGGCCACTTGCGTCGCTCATGCTAATACGACGTCGGCGGGGCGGGGGCCAGGGGCGGGGCGCGGCCCGGCGGGGGTCTCCTTCCCAGTTTCGCGAGGGCTGAAAACCCCAGAAAGGGGTCTTGGTGCGGAGAGCCGCGGCCAAGCCCCTGAGGATACCGGGTGCTCAGCGAGAGGAGCTGGCTCTCTGCTCCTCCCCCACCCCGCGCGGCCGAGCCCCTTGCTCCCGGGGAGAGGGCAAGCAGCCGCAGCTCTCCCCGGCCCCGCGGGAGAGGGGGCGCCGGGGGCTCCAGATCTCCGCCTCAGCCTGGATCTCCACGCACAGCGGGCAAGGAGCCCCCGAGGTGAGCCGCGGCAGCGTCCATCTGTGCTGGCAGCTGGACTGTGGGGCCGAGACCCGAGGGGTGCAGAGTGCCCCTACCCCAACCCTTCCTCTGACCCCGCCCCCTGGCCCTTTCCACCCCTAGGAAGGGAGGGTGAAGCGCAGAGGCTGCTGGGCTGGGTTCCGATGACCGGCCCTTTGGGAAAATGTCACAGCAGTGAATCCCTGACTATGAGCATCTGGGGGTGGAGGGGGAAAGTCGCCTTGTCCCCGCTGGGCTCGGAATATCAGCCCTGCCTTTCCCACACTCCCGCACCGCCTCGCCACCCTCTCCCAGCCAGTAGTCCCCTTTCCTCTAACTGTCCTGGTCCCGCAGCTCCTCCCTTCTCTCTGGCCTCTTCCTCCCGCTTCCCTCGAACTCTTCCCGAGCCCTGTGCTCATCCGCGGATCCCCTTTCTCCGCTTCTGCGAGTCCCGCCCCCTTCCCTCCCCCTACCCCACCTCACCCCCTAATCTCCAGAGCTGCCTCCAAGTCCCAGGTGGGCTCCGGGAGTGGTGTGACCTGGGTCCTCTCTGTAAGAAAGACCTTTTGGGCGCCACGCCCCAAACTCTCCCCACCCCCCGGACCTGGATCCGCCGCTTTGCTCTCACCAGACTTAAGGGAGGCTCACCTCCTGAAAGGGCCGCACCCACTGAGACGCGCTGGCTGCGCGCTGAATCCAGTACGTCCGCAAAAGAGCGTTGACCCTGGATGGCACATCTGGTCCGAGCCCCGGCCAGGCAGCTGAGACTGGGGCTTGTGTTGTTGAGAACATCGTTTGTCTCTCTCCTCGAGTCAGAGAGGACTCTTCCTCTCATCTCAAAAGCAAACTAGCATAGGTCCACTTCTTCCCCTACCATGCTCTCCACCCCAAGGAAGCGCCTGATGCCGTGTCTGTCTCTAGGGCTTTAGAGACAGGCGACTGGGGTGGCTTTCAGCTCTGTCACTGACTAGTCAGGGTGCTGGGGAATTATCTCATCCCTCTGTGTCTGTTTTAATCTCTAATACGGGGTAATAGAACCTAGGGCGTCTGGCACATATAGGAGAAATGTTAAGTGCTTGCTCTTGTTATTATTGTCACCTGTAAAATGTGCTATTTCATGTTGAGAAGAGCACATAAAAGGCACAAGGGCAGCCTCGCTCCCTGGCGAGTCCCTCCAGCGTGGCGAGCACTGTGCTCCAGGCTCTGTCCTGGCTGTTGGAAGGCTGGAGGCCGTTGGAAGGTTGGCTCTGTCCCCGAGACGGCTGTGGGATGATGGAGACCGGAGCATGCGGGTGAGAGGCGGCAGCCTGCTGTCTAATCTCTCCTCGCCCAGGCACCGCAGGGAAGGAGGGGAATCTCTTCCACCCAGGAGCAGCCAGCACCAGCCGCAGCCCAGTGCTCTGTGAGGGAGAGAAAGAGGCGGGAGGCTGGCTTTGCATGATCTTGGGCAAGTCATCGCTTCTCACTGGGCTCCAGTTCTGGTCTCTGCAAGGGAAGGAGTTCGAGGAGAGCCTTCTCACTGAAGCCCTTGGCCAGAAATGGGTGCTGTAGAAGGGTTCTGTTGGGGTGAGATAATTACTTTAAATTTTACTTGAGGACTTTTAGTCAGTATGCACACACTCTCCAGCTCCGGGTAGTCTCTCTCGAACTGCTTTGCACATTGTGTCACCTGCTTGACTCTCCAGTCATCTGAGCTTGAAACTCCAGGCCTCTCCCCTTATGAAGCTTTTAAAGAAGCAGTCTTCCAGCCTGCAGACCAATGATTGTTTGTGTACACATTGTTTGCCCTGTCTTATTAAAAGGTGAACTATAAAGCAGAAGTGTTCTGTCCAGTGGCTGAAGAATGTAGAACTTGGTGGAATCTTAGAGGAGAGAAAGTCCCCCAAGGCCTTCAAGGTACATATCCCCCTTCCCAGCCCCCTGGCCCACATAATTCAGGCTGCTCTTGAGCATGGAGCCTCGCTATCTCCGGGCTCATGCTTAACTCCCCAGTCCTCCATTCCTTAATGGCAGGAAACAGACTCGTGTATTAAACATTCTATGCTAGGGGTGTTATGTGTGCTGTTTTATTTAGTTCTCACTCTGTCCTGGGGCAGTGTAGGTGCTGTTCCTCCTGCCTTTGAACCCAGGCTGTGTGACTTTTCTTGAGGTCCTCACACTGCCTCCCTGTACCCTGTACCTCAGTGTGCTTCTGCTGGCCCATCTGCAAGGTGGCCACAGCCTGGCTGTGCAGGGGAGGGGGCAGATGAAGATCCATGGAAGGAAGCAGGTCCTTGGCTGGCTCCCTGATGAAACACTAACCTCCTTTACCTTCCAACTTCAAGCTCAGAACACAACTGCCCACCGCCATCCTTTAGCAGCCCCAAGAGCTAGGGTGCAGGAGTTACAGAGCAGCGAGGACCCTCTGCTTCAGCAAAAGAATTGGGCCTGAACCTGGCAGGGCTCAGGGAACAACCCCCTTTTTGTTTTGTTTTAGCCTTTGGGGAGCTGTCCAGGGTGCTGGCCCTGACTCCACCACTTGCCAGCCAGCCTCCCACAAGGGCCCTGCCTCCAGCTCTTCCTGTAGCTGTGGCTTCCTCTTCAACCGGACTCTTGCTAAATGAGTTGCTGGAGACTCCTTTTTCTGAGCATAATGTACAGGCACAAGAGAACTTCCCTTCCAACCCTGCTGGAGAAAATGGAAGCATTTTTTCTTCTCCTTTCTCAGCCAGATATAGGAACTGTTGCTACAAAGTGCCTATCTGGTAGTAAATGTGTCAAATGAGTAAAGGAAGGAATTTATTTATTAGACACATAGAAGTGTTTATAATGTGTCAGGCATAGTTTTAAACATTTTACAAACATTAACTCATTTAATCCTCTTACCAACCTTCATATTATTTTTTTACAGGCAAGGACACCAAGGTATAATAATTTACTCAAGGTCAGATTGCTCACAAGTGCCGGAAGCAGGATTCAGACACAGACTGTCTGGCTTCAGTACCCAGTCCTCAGCCCCCCAGCTGTCCTGCTCCAGGGTGCTGAAGAATCGGAGATGACTTCTTTGGAAGTATCTAGCTAAATTTCGCTTCTGTATGCCTTAGTGATTTCTAGATGACGAGCTTTCATTTCATCCTGGACACAGTGGTGGCTTCAGTCTGCTAGAGCAAAGTCCCTTTCATGCTAGACTAGTGCCAGCGGGGCCTGCTGTGGTTGTGGGCGTTCCCGGCACAGTGCATGGGACCTGGGAAGGGGGAAGGATAACCTTCTTGCATCTGTGCCTGGGTGAGGTCTGGTTTGTGTGTGTGTGTGTGCGGGAAGGGTGGTCTTGGGGGAGCTGTGTGAGGAGGGGTACTGCTTTGGAGGAAGGCATCAGCTGATCCTGGACTGTTTTCTGAGAGGGTCATGGGCCCAGCCAGTTCCAGGGCCCTGCCAATGGTTGCTTCACTGAGACATCTGGTCCCTGAGACATAAAATGACTATGTTCCTGTGAAAAACCAGGTTGACGGTGGTGGCAGCCTGTGGGCGGGGCACCTGCTCTTGATTTATTATGTCTTTGTCTCCCTGGAAGCACTTAAGTGCAGGCTGAGTTCCGACAAAGCCCCGAGCCTCTTCGGGTTCCAGCACTGGGGAAGGGAGCGCAGTGGACGCTGGCCTTCCTGCTCGCTCACCCTCGTGCTTCTTCGAGAGGGCCTCGGGGCCTCAGCATCACTTAATTAATTTAGGCTTCCCCAGCCACATATTTTCAGACTCAAAGGAACAGAGCCTCCCTGTCAGCCTTCCCGGAAGCCTGTGAGTCTGGTGGCTGGAAGCCAGAGTACTACGTGCCAGCCCGCCTGCCCTTGGCCAGCCCGTCCTCAGGGCCTGGACCTGCCTCGTGAACGCATCTGAGCTCCTCTCTGTAGGTCCAAGAGAGGGACCCCCTCCTGCTTTCCTTCCGAATCCTGACATTTCCCCTAAATTACTGTGTAGCAGCAGGGCCTCAACATTTTTGGTTTCTCACTCCCTCTGCTCACTTCCCATCCCAGTCCAACGAGTCAGGGTCATCTGTCTCCTCCATTGACACCATCCCTGCCCCTTAATGTTCCCCCAACCCTAATGGCTCCCACTCTGGGGCAGGCAATCACCTCCCACTTACCCCGTGCTCCCTGACCCAGCCAACCCACCCTGCAGGTAGACCAAGTTTCCTTTCTCTGTAAAGTTTCAGCCAAGTTCCCACATGCTCACAGACCTCACAGAGCACCCTGCTGCCTGGCTGGAGTCCAGCTTGCTCTCCCCGAATCACGGCTTTTCGCAGTGTGCCCCAACCTTTCCTGTCCCCCGAACAGGCCCCGGGACCTGCACTTCCCTCAGCGCATGCCCAGCTTGCCCCTCCTCGGCTGCCACAGGACTCGATCGCATTTCCTGGTTCCTGAAATACTGTGAACAACCTCCCCTCGCTCTCCCCATGGATCTCGGTGCGTGTTCTACTCCTTCCCAGGAAGGCAGTCTGCGT